GTGGGGTCAGAGGGCGTGTTGGGGGCGGAGGCGGGCGAGGGCGAGGGGGAGGCAGCGCGGCGCGCCTGGCTCGCACGCACCTGCTGCGGGCTCGCGCCCCACCTCCACACCTGCCCCTTGCCCGTCAGCGCCAACTGCTCGGACAAACAGACAATATTACACTCACAATATTATTCATTGCAACATATTGGCGATTCAACGTCATCTGTACGATGCCCTCCACCCTAATGCCGCCATGCTCAAGCACACCTAAAATAGTGTTTTTCCGTTATCACAAAATTAAAAAATGTTAGCCGTCGCCCGCAACTTCATCCGTGCGGCATATAAAAAAACTTATTTAATAGCCTATATGTTTTTCCAGACTAAGTGCTGCATCAATGCTCAATTTCACCGAGATCCATGCAACAGGTCTGCAGATACCTTATAACAAACATCCATCCATACAGCCATATAATATTAGTAAAATTAGTTATATTATACTGACTGTGTGGAAGTATCCGACGGCGATGTGTGTCACTGTATCTGGTAGGGCGATGCGTGCGGGCAGGGCGGCCTTAGCGCGTGCTCCGCCCCCCAGTTGACCGAACACGCCCGCACCGCACGCCCACACCTCGCCGTTCTTCATCAGTACCACTGTGTGACATGCACCGCAACCCACACTCAGCACCTGTACATTACACATTTATTTTTAAAAGGTAAAACTAATTTTCTATGGTATTAGTGACTTGTCTATGGCTACCTGACCCATAGACAAAACATGTGATACCCGTTTTTAGTCTGATAGATATAAAGCAAAACGATGGGCATTGTAGTATAATTATATTAATTAGATTTCACTTACTTTTCTACCAAGAAATTTTGTAACCAACTGCGGCGTGTATTGATCGTCGATATTGCCGAGACAAAGTTGTCCGTGAACACCCCATCTACAAATATATAATCACATTTATATATGACTAAATTACATTATATTTTAAAATAAAATATATGAAAATCTTTGATCCATTTTAAATTTATGGTAATTGCAGGATTTGATATATTTCAAATGAAATCGTAAATGGTAGTTAGTCTATCATTAATTCGAAATTTATTCACAGCTACCAGCCGCAACCATCAGCTCCAAAATGACTTGAATGTAAGAGACATACAACACAATGGCCTATAGCCTGCCCATGTAGAGTATACTGACCCCCAGGTGTAGAGCCTGCCGCCAAGGTCAACCGCGGCGGAGTGGTAGTGTCCGGCGGAGACTGCGGAGAGGGGGGCGGCGGGAGCGCGCGGGGGGGTGCGCACGTGTAGCAGCGCACCCCCTGCACCCCCCGCCTCGCCCCCCGCACCCGCCCACGCACGTCCCACGCCCAGCTGACCGTACCGGTTGTCACCCGCTGCGTATATCTGACAGAGAAATAACTATAAGTACATATTTATAACCATAACTGATTATAGATTATCTTACTTAACATTATAAATGCAAATGTATCGATGGATGGATGGATATTTGAAGGTATCTACAGATCGGCCGCATGGATCTCGCTGAAATTTGGTACAGATGTAGAACACAGTCTGGAAGAGCACATAGGCTACTAGTTAAGTTTTTTTTAATTCCGCGCAAACGGAGTCACGGGCGACAGCTAGAAGATTTGTAAGGATTTATATTAACAGGCAATTTAAAATAAAAATATTGGATTAATTAAAAAAAAAAACAGTTATTAAATAAAAATCATTAATTTAGTACAGATGTGCTACAAAAACGTTAAATACAATTAATAAATCTTTGATATAAACAACAAATTTTACTTACTCCGTTCTCCGTCAGTATCAAAGTGTGATGTCTTCCGCAGGCCACATCGAGAACTCTGCCGATTATTTCAGTGTTGACAGGAGTGTTGGTCATCATCACCTTGACATTGCCATCATCAGCCAGCGCCCAGTGACTGAGACCACAGGACAAAGCACGCTTCGGTGTGTACTGATTCTTCCAGGTCTCCGGTCTCTTTGTCACCTCTACATGTATGTCTGGGCAAGGTGACCTAGCTTCAATAACGCAAGCCACACGCATGAAAGTCGATATTAGTTGCAGCATTCTTGTTGTCTGAAAATAAAAAATATTTATTTTATATGTTTAAATGAGCAATTCTTGTATATATATATCATTGGAATCTCGGAATCGGCTCCAACGATTTTCATAAAATTTAGTATGTAGGGGGTTTCGGTGGCGATAAATCGATCTAGCTAGGAGTCATTTTTAGAAAATGTCATTTAATTCGTGTTTTATTGATAATCAACTTAAACATAAACTTAACTTTTTCTATCGGTAAGATCAAAAAATATTATTCATATTTCATCATTTTATTAGTAATTCGTACTTAAATATAATTTCCAAAAAACACAATTTAAAAAAATCCGTGCAAAGCTCGGTCATCCAGATTTTATTTTATAAAGACGCTTAAAAATCCGTCTAACTTATATCTTACTAATATTATAAATGCGAATGTTTGGATACATGGATGGATGGATGGATGGATGTATGTTTGTGAAAAGGTATCTCCAGAACGGTTCAACGGATCTCGTTAAAATTTGACTTAGATGTAGAATAGTGTGGAAGAACACATAGGCTGCTAGTTAAGTTTTTTTTTAATTTAAGACGCCATCGCGTGCGACATCTGGTGTATAAATAAATGATGAGAAATTTATCTACTTACATAAATAGATGTTATTCCTTGTTTCAAATCGCGCATCACCGGCCTCAGCTGATCTTGCAGTGGATTCATCCAGAGACATAAGCACTGCAAATATAACATTTAATCAAAAATTCACGATACAAAAAAACTATAGTTATAATAAAAAATATAAAAAAATTAAAAGTTTAATATATTTTTTTACACAAACTCATGAGATTTGAATATACATACCTTTAAAAGTTTAGTATCGAATGTATTACATTTATCTGTAATAAAATCGAAGAGCCACTGTGCGTTCTCCTCGAGCAGTATGGGCACCAGGCAGGCGTGTCGCAGCAGACAGGCCAGCGCGCCGCGGCACAGCTCGCGTCGGCCCTTCACCCCCGCCAGCATCAGGTGAGGCTGTCCGTGGTACAGGCTGAACAGCGGCACCAGCTCCCACAGACCCACGGCCGCCGCCGCCGATGTCAGCTCCACCAACTCCTTCTCGCTTAATGTTACCAATTGTACGTCCCTGTGAAATAGTTACATATAAACTGAAAAGAAGACGATGGGGAAAATATAAGAAAGCTATTTTAGGGTTTCGTACCTCGTAAGGAAAAAAACGGAACCCTTATAGGATCACTTTATTGTTCGTCAGTCTGTCTGTCAAGACCTTTTTTTGTAAATAATGTGACTAAATAAATATGGTGGCAATCGAGAAATCGCTTGCACATCACGCTCGTCTTCTCAGACATTTTGACTTGCCGGTTACACCACTGTTATGAACATTATCTTACTTCTTACTAACATCTTATCTTACTAATGTAAATGCAATTTGGATATATGGATAGATCGATATTTATAAGAAGGTATCTCCAGAACAACTGCATAGATTTCGCTGAAATTTGGCACAAATGTAGAACATAGTCTAAAAGAACACAAAGGCTACTAATTAAGTATTTTTTAACTAACACATCAAACTTTTCTTCCGGGTTGGTGCCGACTTTGAGCAGCATTGCCAGCAGCTTTGCAGTGATGGCGGCGTTACCGAGCGTGCCCGCCGCGCCCCCGCCTGTAGGCTTGTACATCGACAGCTCGTGCATACGCCCGAACACGCCCAGCCGAGCCACCCATCCGTCCGGCTGGCTCTATACACATTTCACTTGTATGAGTACTTGTTCACGCTAAACGCGCGGGAGCGAGCCATTAATCAGTCCCACGTTTTGCGTTGGTGACAATTTGAAACATAATAAATTGCATGGGAGTGTTCACATCTAAATAGCGGCAAAGCTTGCGATTTGGAATTCCTAGATTTCATATCGAAGTAAGTTTAACTGATTTGAACCGGACTATCGCGCAAACCCATGACAACTAATATGGACACGCGCGTAAGTATAAATAAGCACTTAAAGTATCTCAAAATACATTCTCTTGAACCCTTCGGATGCTGGAATGAATAAAGATTGCTTGGTGAAATGAAGAATTGATACCTGTGAGAGGGAGAAGAGATATTGTGCAGGTGCGATCTTCCCGCGGGACATAAGCATGTCGGCGGAGGCGCGCAGTAGCGTGGGCACGCACGCGCCCAGCGCCGCCGCCGACTGCTCCGCGCCCACACCGCCCCGCATTATCAGGCTCACCAGCCATTCTGATGGCTCACAACTGTACCAAAATAGATTATGTTGTATTTTTGTTTCTGCTAAAAAATACAGTTTGATATTTTCCTAATTACCAAGCTAATAAAGTAGAGAACAGAAACGTACTGTGCGTTTCAAATAAAATTGTACGTATAAATAACCTCGATCTGTCAAAATCGCTAGAAAAGTACAGATTACTAACAAAAAAACATAGCGTAAATAAATTTTGTACGGACATTCAGATTTAAAACAAATTTATGTTTTTTAAATTTTCAATACTTTTTTCAATTTAATAACTATGACTTGGCTTTAGGCATATTAATTTGTCTTAGATCCATATGCATAGGTCAAAATTTCATAAGAACTGTATGTCAATTAAAGCTACAGTAAAAACTTACACAGTATTCAATATGTAGGCTCCACAGCTTGTGACCACAAGACAAGGTTCAATGGGAAAGCGGGGCAGCTGTAGGTCGCACATGAACGTGGGCTCGCGCCATCCGGGCGTGGGCGCGGGAGGCTCGCGAGCTGTCATCAAGTAGGCGCGATGCACGTCGCCTATCAGTTCCACTGACCACAGTTCACTGAACTCTCTCTTAGCTCCCAGTAGACCATCACCCTGTGCCCAATTATTTCTTACATGAGTTTACAACATTTTCTTCTAGTATTTATGTATAAAGAAAAAATTACTGGCCCAAATTAACCTACCAACCCTCTGTAGGGTAAAAGTTTATCATGGTGAATTATTATAATTTACCTACTGATTTCACTTTATGTATAATTTGGTACTAAATCTGTGCTTTGAGCGGTCAAACATTTGGCTGGTCAACCAACCCAACAATTGCCTGACACTCATTTTACACAAAAAAGGCCACTCGAGCCTAAATCTTATTAGGTTGATCACCCTTTATGCAGTGAAAAAATGGTCAAAGTGAACGAACAAACCAACTAACCAAAGATAAAACACATAAAACTACACTTACTTAGTGCAAGATATAACATGAAATTACTCATATACTTTTTAACATGAAATATGCAATAATATGGACAATAAGATTGAATAATATTCCAAATTACCTGAACAACAGAGAAATTAGCACTATGTACTTCAAGTTCATTCTTCCTCAGCAAATAAATAAGCCTTTGTGACCATAAGCCTTGTATGTACAGACCATCCTTCTTTATATGAGGCCTTAATGTTCTTGATGGAGTATCATCTTCTGGACTTTCAAGCTGCAAAAAATCATGCTTTTAATATATATTAGATGTCGCCCGCAACTCCGTCTGCGCAGGACTAAAAAAAAAACTTAAGTGGAAGCCTATGTGCACTTCCAAGTGATGTTCTATCCATGCCAAATTTCAGCAAAATCCATGCATCTGTTCCGGAGATACCTATAAACATCCATCTATCCATCTAAACATTTACATCCCTAATAATAGTAAGAATTAAGAATCTGCATTTATTTTTTACTAAAAATGACATAAATGTGTGAACTTTAACAAACAAATACACATGTTTAAACTTTTTTATTCTACTTTCATTTAAAAATATTGTGTTCAAAATATATTTGTATAAAGATCCCCTAAGGAAATTATCACTACAAATACAAGAAAAAGTACTTACAATTAATGTTCCTTCATTCAATTCAAATGCAGTTAAGAAATGTCGTCCATTCACATACTGTGCAGTTAGAGCCCAATTATTAGACCCTTTGCGGAACATTGGCAAGTATTCAACTGGTTTCAACACATATTCCACAGTTTGCTTATCATCTGCAAAACAACACAATATGTATTTACTTTCATTAAACATTATATTTTTAGGATTCTATACCTCGAAAAAAAAAAGTGGAACCCTTATAGGATCACTTTGTTGTCTGTCCGTCTGTCTGTCAAGACCCTTTTTTTTATAAGAGCATGCCTCTTATTAAAAAAAAGAAAGATTGAACTGAAAAATTAAAATACATCTTACACAGAGCTATTATTTTTCATTGACAACTTTGAGTCATTAAATTATTATATATTCATAAATTTAGTTATTTTATTATACCTTTAGATCCACCTTGAGTGAAAAATGTTATTTTATCCTTCGAGAGTTGTCTTATGTAAGACATAAATCCATCTTTCTTCTCTCTGTCATTTTGAGCTCGAGTTTGTTGAAGCCAATTGTAGCCCATAGATCTATGTTCCAAAATTAATTTCCACTGTTGAGATTGTCCTCTAGAGATCTGAAAATGTTCAAAAGAATTAAAGAAGCATCAAAATATTAAATCAACTATTAATGATTATAACACATATACATATTTGTATTACAAAATATACATACCAACAGAGCTAACAAGTCTAGGGAATCATCAAAACATATCTGTAAATCCAAAATTTCTCCTGCAACTTTGACTTCACCCACAATACTCTGGGACTCTAAGGAATAGAATGTAACTACTCCAGTCTGCAAAAATACAAGGAATATTGCATTGCAGGGCTACAGGCTGGCATGGAATAATAAATAAATATGCAAAAATTACCTTGGATCCGATAACAATTATATTTTCAGATTCCTTTGTCAACCACCAGACCACAGAAGTTGGCTGTGGTATATCACCCAGTGGCAAAACAGTAACTCTTGATGATGACCACTTGCAGTCATATAAATTTTCGGGAGTAAATAATGGGAGAAATGGTACAAGTAACACCTTTTGCTCACTTACTATAAGTAGCCAAGTGCCGCTTGGTTCAAAACACATACAATATACAGGATTATCATTAAAATCCCAATCATAAACATTATCAAACCTTTCAAGTTGAGCATTAATAAACAAGAAAACGAGTTCTTTATCACTGGAAAAAGCCAAAAATTTTTTTAAGCCGACTTCGTAAAAACTGTGATTTATGATATCGAGGTGAACTAAAACATCTAATTTAAATAAGGCGGAAAAGTCAAGATTTTCACTATGTTGTGCCATTTTTAATTTCAATAATATATCAGCATCTTCTATATATTTATTTATTTTGAAAAATAGGGAACTGATGTTTCATGATTTTCTTATTCTCTGTCATTTAGTGATGTGATGTTGCAGATGTTGTAAACCTTAACATCGATTCTTATCTATTACGATTACAAGAGTTTACACAAACATGTGGTCTGAATAAAATATTACATTTTTAGGCAACAACCAAGTACTGTTAATTAAAATTGCATTAAATAGGTGTAGTAAAAGTATACAAATTATATTATTACAGTGATTTTCGGTTTTTATAATGAATCTGTCAGTGTCAAAGTCCAGTTTTCTGAATACACAATCTGTAGCTGTAATAGAAAAAATGTGACAGTGTTTATTTTAATAAGCGCAATTTTTAAAAACATTGCATAAAATTGCAATTTATAAAGTTATTGAATAATGTAAGTCTCTAAAAAATCTAAAGGGATAAAACTGTATGAACTTCGGTACATATATGTTTAGAGTAATCCACATAAAATCTTATAAAATTGTGCAGAAAATGACAAAATCTTGAGAGGTTAAAACTTTTCATTAGCACAATTCATTACATTTTAACCGCTTTTGAAAGAAACATTCGTATAAAATGGAATAAAAACTATTTCCTGTTTATCGACCTAGATTTAACTTTTTTTTATTCAGTATGAAGTCTATTTTTCACCGCGGAATAAACATATTATTCAAAAAGAATCTACTATTAACAAACAGTATTACTTCTGGGGCGTTTATGGGTATTGGAGATATTATACAACAGGAAATTGAATACCAATCAAAGGTTCTCCCAAAACGTTATGACTGGCCAAGAACAGGTATCTAATTACTTTGCACAGCTTTCTCTTAAAATACAAAATTAATTAGTTAAATACATAATTATCTTCTGTCAAAATTATACAGCTTATATTAACACATTTAAATATTTGTCTTTATTTTTGATGACAATGTATTGTACTTTGGAATTGATAATCTGTACCACAAATGGGCTAAAATTATTTTTATTGCTTATTAACAATTATAAATCATGTACTGGAAGTGACCTTTCTATAAAAACGTCTCACGAAATGAATGCAAAAAGATTTTTGAAGTATGTCAATGTATACACAAAAGTATAATTCTTTTCAAATATCTTGGCGGTACAGTAATGGGGGCACTGAGCTGTGCCCTCACTCTGCATCCTGGTACGCCTAAAATTGTGTTCTGTGCAGTGATTCGCACAAAGCTAAGAGCTATCAAGACATGTGAAAACTAATGGACTTTTAATTATGAAGTATATAAGTTATTAATTTTCAGCAAGAATGTTCATTGTTGGAACAATAATGGGACCTATGCACCACTATTATTATATTTATTTGGACAAAGTGCTACCATATGCTGATGTTAAGACAGTTGTAAAAAAAATAGCATGTGACCAGTTATTTGCTTCTCCAGCAACACTTCTATGCTTCTTTTATGGAATGGGTACATTAGAAAAGAAAACTTTAGAGCAGAGTACATTAGAAGTAAAACAAAAATTCATTTATGTTTACATGGTTAGTATGTTTAAAATAATATTTTGTTAATAAGATTTTACATTGTGTCAAAACAGTTCCTTAGACTATAATTTTGTATTTCCTTCTGCGTAAAATAATTTGTGTATTTCTTATTCCAGGGTGACTGTTTATTTTGGCCGCCAGTGCAATTCCTAAACTTTTATTATTTACCAACACACTACAGGGTTTTCTACATAAACATGGCGACAATGCTATTTAACATATTTTTATCCTTTATTAAGCATTATGATCAAAAAAAAGTGTAAATAAATGTTATTTATTTAACATGTTTTCTAATCAGAGTAGTGTTAAATTTAACTTATTTGAAGATTATAATTTTAGTTCCCAAGTTGATTTTTTTTATTTCATAAAATATTTAAACTATAGATTAGCCAATAAAAGGTTAGAATTATAATTTAAAAATATTTTAATCTTAAGATAGTATATAAACATTACTACAACTAATAATATAGGGAAGGCTTTGAATAATATTAACCCCAGCACATGGTCCAATCATCTTTCCTTGTTTGTAGTTTTACAACAATTCTATATAATGCAAGTGCTGGGCCCAGGGGTAGACCTAAACCTCTTACAATGTCAGCTCTCCTTGCTGTGCATATTGCTTGGCCATCAAATTCCTGAAGAAAAAAAATTAAGTACCGTATGAGTAGACATTCTTATGAGTAGCTAAGTTTTAACACTGTACACTGTCTACAAACTACATATTGTCATCTCACATGTCATTGAGAAAAAAGATAATATTTTTGATTAGATGTTTCGGAAACTTATGAAAAATGTTTACCTGTTCTTTTAAAATTGGTGCTGCTTCTGGTAAATGTTCCATAAAGTAGCTGTATACATCTTCTGTTGTCCAATTACTTATATCGGGTATACTTGGGTCAAATGGTACATCTTCTGTTAATTTTGTAGGTGCCCTATCTAGTTCATGTGGTTTTAAAAATGGATCCACTGTAGATGATTCTGAATTGTAATCAATATTGGAAAGTATAATTGCAGGAGAGGTAACTATAGTTGGATGAGATTCTAAGCAGTTGTTACATTCCCATTGATCCCATGCCTTCAATCTCTCCGGTATGCGAGGTGTATGACACAAAGCATGGTAGGCATCTGAGCAAATATTGCAAACTGTCAAAATACCCTGTAAAAAGTAGGGAAAAGTTTGAATGTTATTAGAGAAATGTTAATTAAAAAGATCTTTTAAAAATGTAAAAGAAGTTTTAGAGTTGAAGTTTAGAGTTGATTGCTACTCCATTAGCCATATTCATCAAAACAAACTTACAATTATACCCAAAACTTTACCCTTTTGTCTATCCGGTAAAAAAAATAAAAGAAGCACAAAGTAATGTTTTTTGGACTTTAAATGAATAAATATTTTTCCAATAACTTTAAATATAATCTAATTGTAAAAGCAATTTATTTAATTAAATGTAAAATAATCTTACTAATTAAAAATTAACTTTAAAAAACTTACAGCATCATTTGTTTCATAGCACACAACACATGTTTTACAATGTGGGCATTGCCAAGTGTTATCAGGTCTTGGTTTCAGAATACCAGAGCCTGTCTGAAGACAGCTCAAGTGAGCTTTGTTGTTGCAATCTCTACACTCCACAATCCTGTCATTAGATCCTCGAGGTTTCTGGATGTGGCACACAGAGCAAACACCCCCAGATGCTTCATGAGAGATTGGCTCTTCTGATTCCATGTCTTCTCCACTTCCATCTAAAGAATGTTGGCCCTCTGATAAAGGTGTTCCCTCTTTTTCATTTTTCTGATGACTAGCTATCATTAATCTTTTCTTTATAGTGCTTTTATTAAGAGATCCTACTGGCCTTCCTCTCTTGCGTTTGCTTGGTACATTATTGTCTGATGGATCAAATACCTTTTTTGCCATTTTACGTCTTTCACCAACTCTAACACCGGAATTTTGGTTATTTATATTTTGATTATTACTAGATGTGACATTAGGTCGTTTTTTCGGTCTGCCCCTCATTCTTTGTGGAGATGATCTACATGATGAATTAGCTGATGATGTTAACTGAAATACACAAATTTTAACTTGTTAATGTTAGCCATTTAATATTTTTATAAAACCTTAAAGTATTGCTCCACAATGCTTTTGCTTAGAAGAAATATATTTAAAGAATTCAATTAACATTTTCCTTCCCTAATATTAGAGTCAAAACAACAAATAAAATTGTTAAAAAAGGGACTTACCTTTGTATTTGAATCATTATATTCAAATTTAAAACTGTCAGAACTATCTCCATCAGGATCTCCAGCAGGGCCCAAAGCTAATGTACCATTAGGTAATTTGACTAGGCTGCCTGAAGATAGTTCCTTGTTGACAATTGTTTCAAGTTGCTTTTTCGTATATCTCGATAGAAATGCCGCTTCACGTATAAGGTCATCGAAAGCAATCCCATTTTCCAAATAACTTTGATCTCGGTATATTAATGTCGCGATTGCAGACGAAATAATTTTTCTTTCATCAATTTCAGAAGCCATTGCTAATTGAGAAAATAAATAATTACTAAAACAACAAAGGAAAGTTTATTAATAATAAAAATATTTCAACTTACTATTACTTTGTGTTGATTTCTTTCGCCACTTAGCTGCGTTTCTATAGCTTACATTATCTTTGTAATCGACTTTAAATATGCTTCTTTCCTTTAAACAACGTTTAAGATCAGCTTTTGTATCTTTAGGTGCTACTTTATAACACTTTAGCATAAACTTGCAAATTCTGTTTATATCTGGGCGAGACTTTCGCGAACGTAAGTGATCTATTGCTGCCAAAATTTGGTTTTTATACTTTATCTCTGACATTTCTGGAAATAAAATAATATGTGAACAAAACACTTACAGAAAAATTTACTTACAGAATAATGAATTTACGTACCTGAATAAAATCATGCCGCTGGATTTAACTTCCTTCTAAGATATTTTGCGGCAAAAATAACTTTACGATAAGGTGCGAAAGAAAATAAAAAATATAAGGCGCTGTTTATATTAATAATCTTGAAGGTAAAAATGTTTAATTAGTTAACAAGTTCATATCATATAGTTAGTTGTAACAAAGTTCTAGGAGCAGAGCAGACACCAAGGCAAGTAAAGTACCAAATTCTTGTTATGATGATTGCTGATTACTGTGCTGAAGTTGCCAATATAGAATATTTGTAATAAGTTCTTACAAGAAAAAAGTACTTTATCAAATAGGACCACAAGAAAACATGACGATATTTCAGTAAGTGGAAGTGAAAAGTATTTTAATGAACGTTTATCTGAATATCTGTATCGACAAATGAATGGAAAAATCAAAAGCAAAATGAACAAATAAAGACCTCTATTTAGATTTCTTAAGAACAGAACCTTTAATTAGGTAATAAATACCATGAAAAAACCATTTGTATAAAAAAAGTGCTTTTATAGTTATGAGTGGTGGAAATTTGAGTTGTAAATTAACTTTAATAGATCATAAACTTGGTGTGATGTCATTTAATTGTCAAAGTCACCAATCAAATGTCATTCTTGTCTCCCATTTGTACTCATATATCTGCCTCTTTCGTATCTGAAATCTGAAAATATTTAATGTTTCTGCTTTACTTGATAGTTCATTCGTTATAATATCGTAAACATTGTCATGTCTACTTCAATTATAGTTTCAATGCGCAGTACCTACAGTTGTATAAAATACTTACGATGTTCATTCTTTTCGACCCAAATAGAACAACCTGCAAGTAAAGTTACCGGTAAAGTAGTAAATGTCGCGATAATTGGAGCGCCTAATTCAGGAAAAAGTACATTAATTAATAAGATCATGGAACGCAAGGTGCGTAAGAGTTTTTCCAATTTCAATATATTTTTATAACTAATTACACATATTTTGTGAAATACATAGATGCTGTTGCCAAGGGTATCTTCAGGTTGTTCTCTTTAGTAATTATGTTGATCTTACAGATTTGTGCTGCTTCTAATAAAGTACATACCACAACAAAGTTAGCCAGAGCTATTTGTTATGAAAGAGATACACAAATTATATTCTTGGATACTCCGGGTGTTGTAAGTGACAAGGAACAAAAGAAGTAAGTTGATATACAAGTTACATTGAAATATTAGGTTCTTGCCACACTTGTTAATACAATTGTCACTGAGTGGATCCAAAATGTAGAATTATTATGATAAATAAACAGTAAGCTCTTATAAATGATAAAGTGCAACTGTTACTACACGCAGTATTTAAAAGAAAAAATAATTAATATAATTGTCACCCGCGACTATGTCTGCACAGGAGCTGTTCTGCCAATCTAGAGATACCTTCATACAAACATCCATCCTTCCATCTAAACATTCGCATTCATAATATTACTAGGAAGTAAGATATTGGTAAGATGTAATTTGGTATTGATATACTTGTCAAGGACATGATTGTGTATGTTTTTATTTTAACTGTATTTGAACAATATATAAAAGAATAGTTTTGTGACCTGTAAATTGTATTTCAGGTATAAATTACCATTGTCAATGTTGGGTGCATGTGAGAAAAGTTTACGATGTGCAAATGTTGTAGGTGTAGTGCATGATGTGTCAAACAAATGGATGAGGGACAGCATTCATCAAGATGTAATCAACATGTTAAACTCAGTTGAAAAAATTCCAAGCTTTTTGATACTAAATAAAGTAAGTAAAATAATACAAAAAAAATTGTATAGATTCTTAATTAAGTAATTGACTGGTTGTAAAATAAGAACAAATTCAATATTCCTATGATTTTCCCAAATAAAGTGAACTTGCTGGGTTTGTGGCACTGAATGTGTAAAAGAAGTTGCTTCTATTGATCCGAACATAACATCTGCTCAAATAAAAAGAATAAATTGTTGTGGGCGATGTATTAGTAATGTGCCATAACCAAGTTGTAAAAATATATTTTAGTTTTGCGATTTTTTTTTCAGGTAGATCAACTGAAGTCTAAGAAACAACTTTTGGCAACAATTAGAAATGTAACAAATGGAGTAATAGCAGGAAGGCCTATGCCAAAATCTGACAGATCTCAGGCCTTTAAAAATAAATTGCAAAGAGGCTACAGTCACTTCTCTGATGTGTTTCTAGTGTCTGCATTAACAGGGGATGGTGTAGGAGCCATTAAGGTTGGTTATTAACGATTTATTTATTTTAAGTAAATAATCTTACTAATATTATAAATGTTTTGATGGATGTATGGATGTTTGTTAGAAGGTATATCCAGAATGGCTGCATGCATCTTGCTGAAATCTAGAATATAGTCTGGAAGAACACAGAGGCTACTAAGTTTTTTTTTAATTACGCGCGGATGGAGTTTCGAGCTAGTTGTTACGTAAAGAGATAAATATAAAGTCAACTTGGAACTAAAATTTGTCAAAACATTTAAAGTTTTTGGCACAGTATTTAGTCTGTTTATTTTAATTGTTATGAAATTTCAGGAATATCTTATATCCAATGCAAAAGTTGCGAACCTGCCGTATTCTCCGGACTACTGGACAGACCAAACTCCGGAAGCTCTAATTGAAGAAACAGTACGAGCAAAATTTTTGGATTTCCTTCCTCAAGAAATTCCTTATAATTTGAAAACATGTATAGAATATTATGATGAATTGGAGGCAGATGAAAAAGTAGTATGTTCAGTTGTTGTGGAGTGTCCTTCGGAGAGAATAGCAAGATTAATAAATGGTGCGGGAGGAGGGAGACTGCAACAGATCAAATCTTATACTAGAAATGATTTAATGGACCTGTTTAAGAAAACTGTAGATTTAGATTTACAATTAAAAGTTAAAAATAAAACTATTGATGATATACAGAATGAAAAAAAATTGTACAGACAGAAATAATTAATAAGAATTAACGGTATGTTTTTATTTCGTTGTTAATAAAAAAAAAGAAAAGAAAACGGTTTGGTTGTTTTTATTAATACAAATTAAAAATTTTGATTGTAATAATTTATATTTTTGGGAGCGAAAGTCTTTTATTATTTGTATAACTTTTTAAATAAATACAACTGCTATTTAATTTAAGACCACGGTTTCAGTTATGACGATCACCCGCCATTTTAAAACGTGCTTGTGGCTCGCTTTATTATTTCGCCCAATTGCTTGAATGCCCAGTATTGATTTGAAGGGCGGAATAGTGGTATCTTTGCCAGTACCGATATTACTTCTTACTAATATTATAAATGCGAAAGTTTGGATGAACAGATGTATGGTTGAATGTATCTCCAGAACGGTTGAACGGATCCCACCGATATTTGGCAAAGATGTTGAACATAGTCTGGACGAACACATAGCTGCTAATTAAGTATTTTTTTAGTTCCGCGCTGACGGTGTCGCGGGCAACATCTAGTTTATCAATATATCGGTCTGTCTACATCAGACTTGTTGACGTTGTTTATATTAACAAAAAAATACAATTAAAATTTTCGCAACAATAAATCTTGAAGATAACCTTATTTTACAATTATACAACGTTTACTGCGCCACAATTTCAAGTTACGTTACTTTCGGCTTGTATTGTAGGTCTGAATCGGGTAAGTTTGTAGTTCAAAACTTTAATAAATAAAATTACATTATCCTCTCGCTTAGCTAGTCATGTTTAACAATACGAGCAGAATGGAGGGAAACTCTGAAGCGGGCGTTTCAAATTAATCGCACAACTTTGTTAAGACTTGCTTGCGGATAGTTAGTTTAAGTTTATGTGACGGTAGTTCGCGTTCTACGTACCTATAATGTGTTAAATGTGTAAATGAATTACATTCCTTAAGCGTATGTACTATGTAAATAAAGTTGCGTATTATAAACTTCTTACTATTCCATTCTAAAATTTCAAAGTATTTAAGTACTTAATAAATTAAAAGTATTTTCGCAAGTACATCATTAGGTCAGAAGTCTTGTATCTCTCTCTAAGGTGATGGGTCAGAATAAAAAAGATTCACGTTGATGCCATGTGTTAAAAGAGTTTTACAACACTCTGTAGTTGTAGCTTATCAAAGTTCAGAGCGAACATTATTGGCGGACTAATCTAACCAACAAAACAACTTAAGCGAGGTCGACTAATTGACCGTACATTTGTTGTTAAAAGATATTCGTTAATTATTAGCCTGTCTTTAAAGATAGTAGCAGAGTGTAGGTACAGATAGGACTTTGAAATAAGAAATGAACATAAATATTTATCTTAAAAAAATAAAAAAGATAACATTATTTAATATCTTTTACGCTTTCATTACGACGAGTAAAATACAGTATATATTATTATACAAGCGCCGGAATGAAAGCTCAAGGGCTTTAAGGCTTTAGAATGTAACGATGTTAATGCGTGTCAAAAGAAAATGAACGAGGGAAAGAAACGAAGACGAAATACTTATTTATTCGGTAACAGGATAAAAAATTAAAATTTAGACAAATTTTTAAGCCTAAGAAATCTTGCAATATTCTAGATTTATACAAGATTATTTTTAATGTGAACATTTTTTACACTTAAATTGTAAAAAGATAAAATCGAAGATTTCAACAGAAAATTGTTTTATGAACGGTCGGTTCGTTTTAATTTTATCAACCAGTAAAATTTTATGGCTCACTCGAAAACACAGTTTTATGTGACAGACTAATAAATTCCCACGAAACTTGAACCTCTGTAGAAATACTGAGTGTCTCATTTCAAACATCGTCTTATAAAGATGTATTAAATTTTTTAAGTACTTTTATGGAAATATATTTAATTAAAAATAATAAAGTTGATAAAGCGAAGCAATAAGCTTAAGTTCTGGCATAAAATAATGCGTCTATTAAAATAAAATTATTATTATATTTAATAGAACGTCGGTGGGTCAGGGGTCAAGCACTTGACTTGCAATCTGCAGGTCCTAGGTTCAAATCCCACCATGTACCAATGTGATTTTCGATTTACATATATACATTTAACCGACGTTCTTACGATGAAGGAAAACATCGTGATGCAACCTGCACATATCTGAGAAGAAATTCAAAGATATGTATGAAGTCAACAAACCCGCACTTGGACAGCGTGGTTGACTATGGCCTAATCACCCCTAACTAAAGGTAGGCTCCGAGCCCCTCGGTGGGGACAGATAGTGAGCTGATGATGAATAAATTAAAATAAAATTAAATACTAACTGCAGCAATCTTCGGTTTCATCTTTTTTAAAAGCTAAACCTTCATTAAATGATTTATATCAAGAAGTTTGCTAGGTAAAAAAGTAACGATCCTATTCATACGCTACTTCAATACATTCAAGGGTCACGATTGAGGGTCCCTCTGGTTAGCGTAATAGCTTTATGAGGGTATAAGGGCTGCCAGTTTAATAGATAGAATATATTTCGTAGGGCTCTCTAAATAACGTTGTTTCTAGTTAAGATCAAGATAGTTTTGATTAAATAAGTATATAAGAAAGACTTCAAATACCGTATTAATATTACGTATTATGTATATAAGGGAGTGTTGTGTCATTATAAAGCTTTTAAGCTCTTAAGCTCAGTTGACTCTTATCGTCCAAAAAGTGTCGCCCATCCCTTTTACACAAGTCATTTAAACCGTAATGGAATCGAAAGTGATTCTGTTGTATTGAAATGAACGTTTTTACTTTACGTGTTATATTGTATATTGTTCTTGAATATATTAAAAAAAAATACACGACACCTATATTTATAACACACATGACTAGACTTATAATGGCATAAAATATTTTTCGTAAATCTATATGTATGAATATTATTCATTTTTTTTCGAATTTATGCCTTTTTATTTAACTTACTAATATTATAAATGCAGATGTTTAGATAGTTGTGATGTGGATGGATGGATGGGTGGGTGGGATACACTAATTTTATTTTATATATCCACGCGGACGGAGTCGCGGGCGACAGCTAGAAAAAAATAAAGATTGACATCGTTAAGTAAATCTTGAATCTTATTTTAAGCAATCTCATTGCAAATGCTAATTTATTTTAAAAAAAATTTTATTGTTATTATAATCAAGCTAATAGTAAATTCTGGAAAACTTTTTAATTGCATCACTAATAAAGCGGTCAATTAATACTGAAACTTGTGCGATTTAAAGGAGGAATAATACATTAAAAATGCTATTTGAGATCTCGATTGGATATCGAAATTGAAGCAGTATGTCGGAAAGCGCTCCCGATTTATTGCTCCGGAGATATCAATCCCGATAAAAATAATTCGCTCTTCTCTCATATTTATCTCCGAGTAATATTCAAAGTATTAAAAACGACTGAGAATACGACTGAACTTCTTATCCATATGCTTTTTGAAAATTATTGCATTCAAATTTTATATATATCTTTGTACGTAGTATTTTTATCAGAAGTAAGGCTTTATTTATTAATTTTAGCAACTATACTATAACAAATTTAGTAGAAGACTTATTAAGTTTTAACTTGAGCGTTTTTTAGATCTTATTAAGTTTTTTTTTTGTTTTCCTAGTGTAAAATTGTTATAGTTAAGATATATTTTAAAGGGGAACCGTAAATACTATAATGCTAACATAATTACCATCAAAATTATTTGACATTTGCTTTATTGTTCGTAACAAATGATATCATTTAAAAAGAGAACAAAGGCAAATGCGTAATATGTGTTTATTCTACTAGTAAAGATGTGATTACATGCCACAGGGAAATCTGAGTGATTAATAATTTCCTTTTATTTCCTAACTTTTACCATTCATTATCGTTAGTGAGGAAAGTTTTTTGCTTATATTGTAATTGTCGATAAGCAAAACTTTCTCATCATAATAAGTATGTTTATGATGGAAAATTTATAACAAAAACATTACTATAGCAAAGTCGTCTGTCGAACCGGACTTTAATTTACAAATATTAGACGACGGAGACAGCAAACTGTTACGGTAATCCTAAGTCTATTTGCGTTCTCATATCTAATTTCCATAGAGACGTCCACTGAGTTACGTCAGTCGCATATTATATAAATTGCTTAGAAAAATGGCTTACGACATTTCTACAATTTGTAGTATTATTGAATTAAATATACGTTATTCTTCTTCGTATATTTCTATGTTTGTGCTTTTGGTACAATAACAACACTGTTATTTTTCAAAAGGAAAAAATATAGAATTAGTAGCCTATGTGTTCTTCCAGGCTATATTCTATACTTATGGCAAGTTTCATCGAGATCCGTTCGACCGTTGTGGAGATACCTTCAAACAAACATCGATCCATACATCCATCCATTTATAATATTAGTAAGAGTAAAATACTTTAATCCTATTCGATTGTTTAAAAAAAAATAATTGAGAAAAAAAGAAATAAAAAAAGAATTGAAATTCGTCTATAATTCAAGCAAATCGGCTAACGCTTCCAAATTAAAAAAATATGCGAAAGATCCTTTTTATTTATAAAACTAAACTAGTCTTCATTAAAAATTGAACGTAGAAAATTACATGTTTTCTGTGTGAAAGTCAATACAAAGTTTTCATATAAAAGTAACCTTGTTTGCAATCAGTAAAGTGCTTCAAGAAAATACAAGATAAGAATATTTGATAACGCCTCAGATTTTCGCGTACTATATTCTTTTGAAACGTATTTTCTTTGAACATTTCTTATTCACGATTATTATATTTTAAAGATCGATCATAATGGAACTTATAAACGTACAAATCGGTAAAAAAAAAAATTACATGACTTTTTAGTTTTCTTTTTCTTAAAGAAGAGAGCAAACGAGTGGCGCAACTTTTTATCAGACCTATTTGGTAAATCATATGTTTAACTAGTCAATCCTTCATTCATTTAATTCATCGTTGTTCCTTCCTTTACTTCAACGTATAAATATAAACTACCTATTTAAG